ATATATATATATATATATATATATATATATATATATATATATATATATATATATATAAGTGTATGTGTGTGTGTGTGTGTGTGTGTGCGTGTGTGTGCGTGTGTATGTGCGTGTGTGTATATGTGTATGTGCGTGCGAGTATGTGTGTGTGTGTGTGTGTGTGTGTGCGTGTGTTTATTCGTACATCAATTTCTCTCTTCATTTATCTTGCGTGCTAGGCATTTAGTTAGCTATTCAGTCATTTATGTGTTTATTTGTCTATATCTATATAATAATTCGCTTATTGGCTTATTCGTTCCCTCTACATTGATTTACCTGCTTATTATCTATTTAATAATCTAATCGATCTATTAAGATTTGTTATGGTTTACTTGCTTGCTGATTTATCACTCGATTTATCCGTTCATTCATTTCTTTATTGTAATAATCACTATTACTATATTATTATTATTATTATCATTATTATCATTATTATTATTAACATTGTTATTATTATTAATAATATTATTATTATTGTTATTATTATTACTATTATTATTATTATTATTATTATTATTGTTATTATTATTATTATTATTATTATTATTATTATTATTATTATTATTATTATTATTATTATTATTGCAGTTGTTGTTGTTATCGCTTTATTATTATCATCATTGTTATTATCATCATTATTATTATTATTATTTCCATTATTACTACTGTTATCATTATCATGATTACTACTATCACTGTTATTATTATTATCATCGTTATTATTATTATTATCATTATTATTATTATCGTCATCATCATCATCATCATTACCATTATTATCATCAGTAGCAGCATTGCTGTTATCATTATCATTATTATAATTATCATCATCATTATCAACATTATCATTAGAATTATTACTATTATTATCGTCACCATCAGCATTGTTATTTTTACTATGATCATTATGAAAAAAGGATATCTAGTATCGATTATATATTCAATATTTATCATTATCATAATCGTCATGATTGCAGGTAAGGGGGGGTTAATATATACTAATTTAATTATATTTCACTTGTGTTGTCCTTATGGCTAGTCTTTAAAACTTTCACTGATACAATCGGCATTATCAGCTTGACCTAACTCCATAATCAATTTGAGCACATACTTTTTTTTTTTGCGATTACACCGCACATTCTCGTTTTTTCATACCTTCTTCATTCATTTTTATTTTCGCTAAACTCCATTCGTATCAGATACCACAGTATTCGTAACGAGGGGGAGAAAGCACCGCTATTTCCAACGTTAACGATAATGAGGAAGTGTCATGAATCATCCCTTTTATCAGGAAAGATGGCAAGCAGGGCGACCGGGCGAGACAAAGGACTTTCCAGAAGGGTCTTTGTAAGGTGGTTGACCCCTGGGCGCCGTCGGGAAAAGGGCAACCAAAATCCGTTTCGATTTTTCATTCCACGTCTAGAGCTTTCCAGGTATGATGTTTTTTTTCTGTGTTAGCTTCTACGTTTTTATCGGTGTGTTTAAAGGGATAAATATATCTGTACATATTCACAGTTGCATGGACAAACACGTGTGAACAGGCAAATACAAATATATCATGCATACACAAAAAGGCATGCATATACACGTATAAACAGGCACACACACACTGACACACACGGACATTCACACTCTGACACACACACTGACATACATACTATGACACACAGACACGCTAACACACACGCGTAAACCTGCACAAGGTCGCTCGAGTATTTGAAAGAGAGAAAGGTCGAGTGTGTACATCGTGTCCTGTGATAGCAATTCATCTTCAACGAATGAAAGAAATCTTCAATGAAAGAAATGTTCGGTGAAAGAAATCACTGTTATTTTCAGAACCCCGCTTCTTGTACCATGAGAAAGACTCAGGCAAGGCAGGGATTTTCGGTGACCAAGAAATTTCCTGGAATTCCTGTAGAGTGAAGTGTAAGGTATAGTAGTTGCTGTAATTATTATCACTTATACATAGTTGATGTCACTGCATATATTATGTGCATGTGTGTGTTTCGCTCACCTTTATGTGTGTGCTTGTGTATGTTTGTGTGTGTGTGTGTGTGTGTGTGTGTGTGTGTGTGTCTGTGTGTGTGCATGTGTGTGTGTGTGTGTTTGTATACAAACAGACACACATGTGTGTGTGTGTGTGTGTGTGTTTGTATACAAACAGACACACATATGAGTGTGTGTGTGTGTATTTATACGTACATACATACATACATACATATATATATATATATATATATATATATATATATATATATATATATATGTATATATATATATATATATATATATATATATATATATATATATATATATATGTATATATACATATATATTATATATATGTGTGTGTGCATATGTATGTATATGTGTGTGTGTGTGTGTATGTGTGTGAGTGTGAGCGTGTGTTTATATATATATATATATATATATATATATATATATATATATATATATATAT